AGAAGGGCCAGTAAAATAGCTCAGCAGACTAAGCTTGGCAAGTGCAGGGACCAGGGTTCGATCCCCGGTCCCACGTGCTGTGCCAGCCCTACTCCCAGAGTGTGGACTGGCCAAATGAGTCTGGGCATGGTGGCGCACACACAGGCCTATAATCCCAGCATTGGGGAGGCTAAAAACAGGAGGATCACTAGGAATCTAAGCTATGTAGTCAGACTACCAAATACATCAAAAAAACCAAAAACCAAAAAAACCTTAGAACCCATCACTATTATATGAAAGTTACAATTTAGCAGTCTTCCTATATCAGAATAAATGGGCTACACTTACTCCATCTCCAAATCTGCTGGCAATTCATTTTCTTTTTCCCAGGTTAATATCTCCACTGCATACCGAAACATAATAGCAAAAATGTTGTAAGTTCTTGCTACCACATCTTCTGATAAATGCACAAGAGGATCCTGAATGAAAGAGCAAGGGAAAGTACAACCATGTTCAATACGTACTAATTTTCCCACGTCCCATTCTATTTCCACTTCTCAAAATTCTACAGAGGCGGCTGCTCGGTTGTCTACCTTCACCTTCTCTTCAACGAATTTAATCCTACATTTTTCAACCAATTATATCAAACCTGCTGAAATATTTCATTTAGAATATTCTCAATTTTCAATCAAATGAGTCAAATATTCAAGGTATGCCAATGCCTAACAAGTAAATTTAAACATTCTGGAATGGCTTTCTCACATTGCTAAAACCTCCAATCAAACCAACTTTCCAGTTTCATGTCCTACTCTCTAATTTGCAGAATAAAAAACAAATATTCACTAAGTATGGATGTGTCATATTAGGTCTGTAGGTCTCTTAAAGGAGAGAACTCATTAAAGCCAAAACACTGCTACTTCATTTTATAAGAACCACTTACTTGCTGATCTACTGTTCTGCAGGGTCAGATGTTAGTGGGTTAGTGTCGACAGGAGGCTTAACAGTGCCTAAGTCACCAAATTTCTAGGTTACTATAAAAACCTAGTAATATTCCTTTAAATATGCATGATATGTATCGTATCTTTCAGTAAAGGCTGGCAAAACATATATAATTTT